TTAGTGATAAAAGCAGTCTTTTTTCTGTCCTCCTCTTTTACAGCAATTTGCCAGTAACCGGAAGCGAGATCAAGACTGGAGAACCATTGGGCTCCTTCGAAAGATTCCAAAATTTCATCAATAATTGGGAGAGGGTAGACATCCTTTTCCGTTACTTTATTAACTTTTCGGTAGTCAATACACATTCGTCTTTTACCATTTTTCTTGGGAACCAGTACAATTGGTGAGGCCCATGGGCTTGAAGATTCTCGAATTATTCCTTTTTCCTGCATAGCTTGTATTTCATCTTTGATAAAGTCATGATCACTATGAGCGATGCGATAGGCTCGTTGTTTTACAGGCATGGCGTCCCTTGTTTTTATTTCATGCTCGACAATATGAGTTTGGGTTAATTCGATAGTTTGCCCTTCCTTGGAAATGTTTTTGGCAAACACATCGGCGAACTCAGTAAATAATTTGTCAGCGGCTGATTCCTGGTTTTCATTCAAGATGCCAGTTTGGTGAGTGGTCTTTTCAGGTTTTTCGGGTTTAACAGTTTCAGTTAAATACAGGGCGGGATTTTCATCAGTGCCACACATTTTTACTTCTCTATATTCATCGGAGGTATTAGATTTTTCATTTTGCCAAGGATTTTCATATAATTGGTCTTCATCCCAATAGTCAGAAGTTTCAGAAAAGTAGGTTTCAACTTCATCAAGATCCTCCTCGTATTCATATTCATATTCAAGTTCCTTTTCTAATTCATCCTGGATTTCCTCCTCATCCTGTTCCTCATCGGATTCAATAAAAACAGGAGAGTTGTGAATGTGGGTAGTTTTAACAATGGTCTCATTGTCTCCATACGTTAACTTCAAAGTTCGGTTACCAAAATTCCACTGTGCACGAGTCTTTTCAAACCAATCTGTTCCCAATAACAGATTGTCATCAGAAGAATCAATTACTAATAACTTCATGGGCACTAGTAAGTTTTGTACAGCAATATTGACACTGTCAATTTGGCCCAATGCACGTTGCCTAGTTCCATTTGCAGTAATAACTATTACGTTCGAAGATCGGTTAATGGTAAGGCCTAATTTATTTTTTAAACTTTTTGTGATAATGCTCACAGCGGCTCCAGAATCCAATACAGCATTTACTGGATTTCCTTTAATGCGTACATAACATTTAGCGGCGGTAGTTCTTTTTTCGCTACTGGTTTCCACATGTTTAGCTTCCTCTTGGCGAGCAGGTCTTTTTAAAATTTTTGTTAGGTTCCTCTTTTGATCAGGGTACTTTAACATTTGCCCTAATTTAGCAGTTGACTGCAGATTAAGAATATCTTGAGAGATATCATACGGGGGCATTTCATCGATAACTGAAGGCTGTCGTTTAGCTCGGATTTTCTTTACGGGCTTGTTTACTGGTGTAGTTTTTGGTCGAACTTCCTCCATTACTTCATCATTTGATTCATAGGGATTAGTTTCAAAGTCAACTAAGATTTTAGGTTCAGTATTCTCAGGTGATTTCTTTTTCATGGAGCGGGTAATAGGTCCTTGTTGTCGAGAGTTGGATGGTTTATTTCTAATTGCTTCATAGACTTCAACTTCTTCATCTCCTTCACTTCCATCAACATTTGCATAGTTAACTTTTCGTCGATTTTGGTTTTGATAATGAGAAGAATTTTGACGAGGTGGGTTTCTTTCAGATAGACATTCACGAGCGAAATGTCCTGGTTCTCCACAGTTATAACAGTTCCTCGAGTTAGAATTAGTTGGCCTTGGTATATTTGCATTAAAATTAGGCCGAGGTTTGATAACTGGTAGTTTATCAGTTTGGTTAGCCAAAGCAGCGGTTAGGGCGGCATAATTAAGATTCATTTGTTGAAATTGTTGGGCTAGTTTATCAATTTCACTTTCAACATTTCGTCCCTCAGGATCATGTCGTTGATTTCGACTTCGTTTGTAATACCTTCCGGCTTCAATTTGTTCGGCTAATTCAATGGCGTCATTTAGGTTAGCATGTTTCCCAGCACCAACCATTACAGCAATTTCTTCATTAAGTCCTCCAATAAACATTCGGACCTTGTAGTCACTTGGTAGAACCTTAGTTGAATCTACTTTGAATAATAACTTTTTAAATCTAGTAGCATATTCAGCTACTCGTTCGTCATAGCCTTGTTTCAGATTATGTAATTCATAGTGCCATTTGTTTTTCCTTTCAAGAGTGGAGAAGCGGGCAATAAATAATGGTACGAAAGAGATATCTTGATGATTATTATGATCCCAATATCTAATTGTATCAGCATCTTTATGTTCCTTATACCAATGTGTAGCGATTCCTCTTAAATATCCTCCAGCAATTTGAATTTTTCTGGCAGATTCCTTCCATTTGTTGGTCTCAGCAGCTCGTTCAAATGCAGCGATCCATTCTACTGGATCTTCATTTATTTTTCCAGCAAAAGTCTCAATTGGAATCAAGTTTGCCTCATTGGACAT